TTAATGCCCCACATCCTCCACCCAAGCACCCTGTGCAAATGCACTTGGATATAACATTTCCCACTGTCCTGCTTCCCAGGAGCTGCCAGCTGCCATCAGCATGAAAAAAGTCACTCTGAGGAGATCCGTGGGTTTGGAAGCTTCACCCCCCAAGAACAATGCAGAAGGGCAAGTGGGACAGGTGGTGAGTGCAGGGAGCCAGCCCACCCACAACCCTCAGCCTTGCCTCCCCTTCCCAGCTCCCAGACACCCTGCCTGGAAAGTCACTGGCCTGGACTGCCCCGCTTCAGGGGGAAAGTTTTATTCCCAGCACCACTAATGTATGGATGAGGACTCCAAATGCAAAGGGATGATTTTATCCTCATCCTGCTCCATGTCTCCTCTCAACCTCATCCTCTCCAGTGTTGCTCCAAGGAAACATCCGAGCCTTGGAGAGCAGCAGCTCCACTGTCCAGCCAGCTCCTGCCTGAGTGCAATGCCAATGCAATCCCCTCCATGCAGGTCCCAGTGGCACTCCTGGCAGCAGAAGCAGCCCATGGGGCCGGGTGCTGGCTCACACCCCCCCAGCTCTGCTCTCAGGTTCCTCACTGGGCTGTGGAGCTGGTGGCATGTTGCTGTAGATCTGCTCCTGCTGTGGCACACGCTTCTGCACCCTGGCGTACATCGCCTCTGTTTCCTCTTCCACAGGCTGGGAAAGGAGAGGGATAAACAAAAAACATCCTTTGTGGGGCTGCTCCAGGGAAACACTGTCTGCTGGAACCTCTCTCGGCTGCTTTAAGCCCCCAGGAGCAGCCACGGGGACTGGAGAGGGAACCCACATTATCCAGGGTCACTTGCTCTCCAGTTTGGTGAGCCCCTTTGCAGCCCCCTCCCTCCCCACCCAGCCTATCCCAGTGCCCATGCCATCACCCACCCGCCCCAGCTTTCCCCCCACCACCTCCAGCTCGGCATTCTCCTACCTTAGCACTGTGCCTGACTTCCATGTACTCGATTGTGGAGTTTTGCAGGCTCCGGAAAGCCTCGGCGTTGCTGTACAGCTGGCTCTCGGCTGTGCCCATGTGGTGGTTAATGTCTGCATAATTCAAGGCATCTGCTCCCTGATGGAGAGGGATGAGCTCTTAACCTGCTGCCGCCTGCATCCACAGGGGTGGGAGCACCTCCCGCCCTGCTGCCTGTCCTGATGGGTGCTGAGACTGATGGCTGCAGGAGCACTGGGTGGAAATAAAACCTGAAGCAAGGGCTGGTTCAACATTCCCCAGGGGAATTCTAGTTAGTGACACCAGCCTCTCCTCAAAATCTGGCAGATAAAATCAGAAAACGCTCTCCAAGCAGTGAGCAAAGAGCAGCTGCTCCACTGCTGCCTCAGGTGTGCTTTGCCTGTTTCCCAAGCCTGTTTTACTCAGAGGAGCAGCTCCCATGCTTGGAGGGGCCTGGGGGCAAACCTTTTATCCCAATCCTAAATTCTCTTCCCAGGAATACTCTGTGATAGTCACATAAAAGCCCTGTGTCTTTCTGTTGGTGAGCAGTGCCCAAAGGATCCCTCCCAGCTTAAAGCACCATGAGCCAGGCTGACAGCAGAAGCTCTGGCAGCTCAGGGTGTAACGCTTCCCCTTTCCATGAGAACTTGGGACATGGCATCCCAAGACCTCATGAGGTTTTCCTTACTGTATGAGAAACACTGCGAGTCCTGTCCATCTCTATGGCTGCTCTGGAGAGGGCTGGATGGAGCACGGATGTGGTTAGACATGAGTGAAAACAGAGGAAAAGAAATTAATTAAGAAACTGCACTGCCACTGCAAATCTCACCGTAAAGCAGGAAAGGAACCTGTTACCCTGTGAGCCATCCAAACTGAAGCAGCTCTTCAAATAAAACCAGACCCCACCTGCCAGCTGGCAACGTCCTCTTCTGTCCCCCCCCATCCTTCACTCTGGCCTTAAACTTTGTGTCAAGCTTAGTGCAAGCCTGGCCCACACAAGTGAGCCCATCTGGGGAAGCTGATGGTGCCCAGACAAACACAAGTAGGTGCTGTGCCAAGCAGCACCCACCCCAAGGGCTGCCATTCCCTGCTCCCATGGGGATGAGACCTGTGGGATGGTCCCACCGTTCCCTCAGGGGAAGGAGTCCTCCTTGGTGGAGGTCTCAGTGATGGATCAAGGAACTGGATGGATCAGGGAGGGAATGGGGGAGAAAAAAAAATATAGAGGAAAAAATAAATAAAGCAGAGGCAGGTTCTGGAGCAGAAATAGGGTGTGTGTGGCAGTGGCAGCTTCTCTCACCCTTTTTCCTCTTCCTGGACAGTATTACCAGAACAGCAGCAGCCACAGCAAGCAAAAGAAGAACTACTACGATGCCTGGAGTGAGGATGTGCTCAACCACGTTCAATCTGCAAGAAAAAAAGAGTTTCTGTTCCCACACTTCTCAGGAGGAACCAGCACGGAGCAGGGTTGCAGGAAGTGGCTGTGGGTGACGGGGCTTTCCCTGGGAGGAAGGACGGCAGGTGTGGGGTGGTCAGGCTGCCAGCTGGGCACGGAGCAAAGCAAACCAAAAACTGCAGAAGCAAACTGACACTGAGGTCTGAGAGCTGCTGAGTCTTCTCTGGTTTAAGGATGGGTTCCTGAACCTAATGTTGCTCCAGTTTAGCTCCACTATTTGTTGACCTTGTTTGTAATGGGCAAGCAGGCAAAGTTGGTGTGCCAGCTACCCCTGGAGCATGCTAATGGGGAGCCTCAGCTTTGCCTGCTGAGGCATCACCTCCCAGAGGCAGGAGAGAAGGAGGGAAGCTCTACAACTCCTGTTTAATGCTTTGGCCACTATCTCTGCTGGGCTGTGTGTGACTATAAAGCAGAACAGGACACTGGCCTGCATTTGGTTTCCCAGTAGCAAACACTGCCTCTGAGTTTTGGGGAAGGAAATGGGGTCAGGCAGAAACCGCTTCTCCTGTGGCAACAGCTCATGGCTTGCTTAAGCTGCAAGATGGATGGGAGAGAAGCAGGGCTTTTCTGGGGCCATGTGACCAGAGACACTGGAATTATTGTCATAGAATCATAGAATGCTTTGGGTTGGAAGGGACATGTAAGATTACCTAGTTCCAATCCCCTGCCATGGGCAGGGACACCTTCCACCAGACCAGGTTGCTCTGAGCCCCATCCAGCCTGGCCTGGAACACTTCCAGGGGTGGAGCACCCACAACTTCTCTAGGCAACCTGTGCAAGTGTCTCACCACCCTCATAGGGAAGAAATTTTCCAGCTGGAGTGGTCTCTAAAGGTAAAAGCAGGATGTCTGGATCCTTAAGGGAGATGTGAAGAGTCTGAGGGTTGCAGGGCTCCAGCTGCACCAAACAAATCTTGTTGAGGGAAGTGGCTGCTGTAGGCAGGAGCTGCTACTCACCTTTGGTTGCTGGACGGATTTGATGTCATGTGTACAGTTCCCCCTTGGGAAGTTGTCTGTGTGGGGCCTGTTACAGGGCTAATGAGATCGGTGTGCTTGTTTGTGGTGGAGGTTGATGGTGGGGTGGCTGTAATGAAAAGAGGAGAGGCTTGTTTGATCTGTCTCTGGGGGGGAAAATGCTGTGGGTCTTTCAGCGAGTCAGAAGTGACCCACTTACTGTCACACAAGGAGTAGTTGAAGGACACTCCTTGAGGTGGGAAGGCTGTAAGACCCTACCACTGCCCAGGAGGCTTTTCACAGTCCTGGTCCCCCTCAAAACATGCACAAAACAGAGTTCATCCTGCAGGAAGGGGGTCTGGGTACCCCATGACTCGTTCAGTACTAACACAACAAACCCATATATGTGTCCTGCCACGGGGGCTGATCCCTAGCAAGGCAATGGAGAGGGATGTTCCCAAAGCCCAGGGCCTGGTGCCCAGAGGCTCTGCTTGTCCCAAGTGGGAAACAAGGCAGCACAGGAGGTGAGGAATTCCCCAGTGTGATGCAATAAGGCAAGGACAGCACAGACAAGGACAGCAAGATCTGATGAGAGGGAAAATGAGACACAGAGAGCAGGTAGGTGCATCCCACCAATGGAGGTGGCTGATCCTGGAGCACTGAGAAGGAGCTGTGGGGAGATCTGGGCAAGGGGAGTGGGTGATGGTGGCACCTGCTGCACTGTGGTGACATTGGGCACCTACCACCTGCAGGCTGCCCCTACTGCAGCCCTTGGTCCCAGTACTTGGAGGGGGACACATCAGGGCTGGACCTGGGGGACCAAGTACTGACCTGGTAACACGATCACCTCCACTTCATCACTCCAATCTAACTGGAGCCTTCCCATTCGCACCCCACAGCGGTAGATTCCCGCGTCCTTCTTGGTCAGATCCTCCACAGTCACTGTGAACACCAGGTGTGTGTGGTTATCCCGGATGGAGAATCGGCCCTTCCGCACCACGGGCTGTGACTCCGAAGTGATGACGATGTCCTTAGCACAGGTATAAACTGTTCCCGGTTTGCACCAGAACTTCGGGTTCATCTCCAGGCCGGGCTGGTACTCGCAGGTGACCGAGAGGGACTCCCCCACGAATCCCTGCACAGTTCTGCGCCAGCCCATCGCCCCACAGCCTGTGGAGACAAACGGAGCCGCGGAGTGCTGCCACCGCACCGACACCTCCCGCCCGTCGCGGCCGCCCCCACGGGCCCCTCCGGGAGTGGGGGCCTCTGGCGAGACCTTACCTGGCAGCAGAGCCCAGGCGAGCAGAGGCAGGAGCTGCATGGCTGCTACGGGACGGCGGAGCTTGGCACCCTGGTTCCTCGGCAGGGAGCCCCGCCCGCCCCCGGGGCCGCCCTGTCGGGGCGGAGCGCGGGGACCCCCGGGGCTGCCTGACCGTCGGGGCTGCCGGAGAGACAAGTCGGGGGCGCTGGGCGGTGGCAGGGAAGCTTTATTGGAGTTGGCGACGGCAGGAAGGGCGCGGCGGGCCCCGGTGCTGCCGCTCCTGCCCACGCCGTCGGGCCGGGGCGGCCCGGGCCGGGAGGCATCGGCCGCGGCCGAGGGGTCCCGGCGAGGGCTCAGCCCCGCAGGCTGACCCAGAGCACGGCCGCGCTCATGACCAGCAGCGCCAGCAGCTGCAGCCCGGCCAGCACCGGGAAGTAGCGGAAAGAGCCACGGGTTCCCTCCGGAGCATCCGGCTGGAGCGTCGGGGTTGCAGGTGTGAAGGAGCGACTGATGCAGCGGGTGCCAGGAGGGCACTTTGTCCCTCTCCATCCCCCCTCGCTCAGGGTGACACCTCCTCCCGTAGTCTGTCCCCGGCCCCCCAGCGCTGTGCTCACTGTTGCTGGGGTGGAATTGTGCAGGGACTGACCTGGCAACACGATCACCTCCACTTCATCACTCCAATCTAACTGGAGCCTTCCTGTTCGCATCCCACAGCGGTAGATTCCCGCATCCTCCTCTGTCAGATCCTCCACAGTCACTGTGAACACCAGGTGTGTGCGGTTATCCCGGATGGAGAATCGGCCCTTCTGCACCACGGGCTGTGACTCCGAAGTGATGACGATGTCCTCAGCACAGGTATAAACCGTTCCCGGTTTGCAGCAGAACTTCGGGTTCATCTCCAGGCCGGGCTGGTACTCGCAGGTGACCGAGAGGGACTCCCCCATGCGTCCCCGCACGGTTCTGCGCCAGCCCATCGCCCCACAGCCTGTGGAGACAAACGGAGCCATGGGAGAGCTGCCACCGCACCTACACCTCCCGCCCCATCGGATGATCCAGTGTGAGTCTCTGGCCCCAAGGATCCCCTCAGCCCTACCTGGCAGCAGCAGCCAGACAAGCAACAGCAGGAGCCACATGGACAGGGTAGCCTGGGCCACAGCTGGGGCAGCCCTACTGCTCCTTCTATGTTGCGTCTCTAGGGCTTTGCTTCCTCTTCTGCCTGGGATACCAACTCAGTTACTGCTGGGCGTTCAGCAAAAGTGTAGGGTTTCCTGTCAGCTGCCTTCCTGCCTTGCCTGGTCACTGAGAGCACTTGTTGTGCCCCCATGGCAGGACACAGTTCTGCCTCTTACCGCCACACTGCCCAGCCTCTCTCACCAGGCACAGCACCTGATGGGGGACCTGCCTCTCAAGGGATGGCTCAGCACTGCACAGGGACCCCCTGAGCCCCATATAAGTCTCCAGGCTGGGGCAGTGCTCCTGCATGGCCACCCTGTCCTTCCCATGGGAATGCATATGAGGAGCCCCCGCCTCCTGCTCCAGTACAGCTGGAGATGGGCGCTTGTCCCCGCTGCCCTTGCCAGCACATCCCCACAGACTGTTCCCAGCACAGCCCCTCTGTGGCTCAGGATCCTATGCCCTGATTAGGTCCTCTCAGGCCTCCCCCTGTGTCCCCATCCCCTGTAGGTGCTGTAGTGGTGGGGACACTTGTGGAAGGACACTCGTCCCCAGCTCTTGCTCAGCTGGAGCATTTGGTGGCATCAGACAGAGTTGGCAGGCTTGAGGCTCCTGGGGCTGAGGGCTCCTTTCCTTGTGCCAGGGCTTAGCTGGGTGATGGGGAATCAGGTGCCAGCATTGCCCCTGTGATCCTGTATCTCCCCCAACCACAAGGCAGTGTGTCCCCACACAGTGTGTGCATCAGCACTGACAGCCACGGGCACCCCAGGCTGTGCTGGCAGCTGAAGGAGGGAGCAGGTGGACAGACAGACAGGCAGACAGGCACCTGCAGGATACCACGGCTTTATTGCAAAATTGTCTTCGTTTGGCAGCTGCAGCTCAGCAGACACAGGCTCTCTGCACTCCAAACCCCCCTCTCTCCAGCACTGGGGCTGCCAGGAGGGGCCAGGGCTTCACAGGGGGGGAGAATCACCGGGAGCCAAGCACCTCCTGGCACAGGGCGGCTGTGGTGGGCGGCACGGCCCCAGCAGGGTGGGGGGAGAGGGGGCAGGAGGGTGTCCCTGGGGCTCCAAGGTGGCTGGGAGAGGAGGTGGGCAGCCTGGTGTCCTGGTGCTGCTGGAGGCCTCAAAGAGCTGTTGGTTTTCCTGGTTGCAGCTCCTATGCCGGCTCCTCATCCAGGCTGCCCCACACACCAGGGCCAGGGCTATGAGAAATTTCAAGCTGAGGAGGACCAGCAGGTGGGTGACACTGAGCTGGGACCTGTATGGAGAAAGGAGATTATGCTAGAGCCTGTGTAGGGTCTGTGCAATGAGGATGAGGACTGGGACGCTGGCATGTCTGCCAGCTGCCCTGCTTGCCCCTGGGATGCTCCTTGGAGCTGCTGCAATGGAGGGACACACAGCTGGGAGATGCATGCAGTGAAAAATGTGGTTTTGGCCAGGGGATGCTGCTGGGGGCTTGCCCGGATCCCAAGCTCTTACTCACAGCACTGGAGGCTCCCCACGGCCACTGGAGCCCACATCGCTGCCTTCGGTTGTGGTTGAAGCAGCTGTGAAGGAAACAGAGTCAGAGCAAAGTGGAGACCCACCCCACACACACCCCTGTCCTGCCCCCTGCACAGGGGTCTCTGCCCTGACACTTCGGCCACGGAGGTGCAGGAGGTGGAGATGGGGGTATCCAGCAATGCCATGGGCACTGTGGGGGAGGAAGAAGAAGGAGGTTACTGCCAGCTTTGCTTCCAGCCCAGTTTTACCTGCAGAGACCATCACCCTGGTGGTGTGGGATGTGCTGAACCACAGTTTCCTCTTCACCCCGCAGGAGTACCGGCCTGCATCCCCCAACGTGACTCCACTCTGTGTCACCATGAACGAGTGTGCTGTGTGGTTGTCCCTGATGGACACCCTGCCCTGTGTCACCGTCACCTCTGAGCCACTGGTCTGGATGATGTTGGTGCAGCAAAACCAGAGGAAGCTCTGGCGGCACCAGTACTTGGAATTGAGCTCATAGCCTGGCTCATAGCTGCAGGACACTGCCAGCAAGCTGCCTTGGTCAGCTGTCACCTGCTTGGGGCCTTTCACTGCCCAGACACCTGTGGGGGACACAAAGAGGTGCTGCAAACATGTCCTGGCATTGCCTTGGGGAACCAAGAAGGATCTGAGCCCAGGATTCTTGGTGGCACCCAGCCCCGAGGGAGGCTGTGTCTGTACACCCGCTGTGCCAGGGAGCAGTGCTGAGAGGAGATGTCCCCATTCAGGAAAAAAGAGCCCCCATCAAGGGTGTGTGTTATTAAAAGAGCAAAAAGCCTTATTCCCAGGGTTCACATGACAGCAGTAGAAGCACATCTCAGAGATCACCCCCCGTAACTGCCACAGGAAAAGGTCGGGATCAGCTGGGCTCTTGCCATGACCATGGTGAGTTTCCTGGTCTGGCTTGGCCCCAACCTCTCCACAGCTCTGCCAGAACCCCTGAGATGGAATTGCCTGACCTGTGTTCCGGGCTCTCACCTGGGGAAAGGATCCAAACCAAGAAAATCCTCATTTTCCAGCTTCTTGCTCCCAGAGTGGATTTTTCTCTGTGGTTAGTCATGAAGAACCTTGCAGGAGGGAGCCAGGTCCACATTCACTTGGGTGTCCCGGGAGTTTTCCAAGCCTTATTCTCCTGTCCCTTCTTTGGGCAGTGCTTACCCACAGATGACCCTGGATGTCTTTTTTTAAGTTACTTGTTTCCTCCCCTTCACCCGGGCCCATGACTCACCCTGGGGTGTTTCGTGAGAGAGACTCTGCTTTTCCTCTGAAATAGTCACTGAGTTCCCAGTAAAATACCAAAATGCAGCAGCTTCCTCTGCTGCAATGCCCATCCCAGTGGGGAGCACAGCCTCTTCCCCTACGCAGAGCCCAAAGGACTTTGGGGAACTTTGCAGGGGGGCCAGGCCAGAACAGGGATGCAGGGTCTGGGGTAGAGTGAAGGCAGGTCTGCCCCTGTGGATGGACTGGCTGGGACTGACAGAATGCTCTCCCAGTTGTGATGGACTCGGATAACAGACTGAGATGATGGACAACCATCCCCCTGCACTGCTATTCCCTGGCTCTTGAGCCAGTGTGAGCTGGGCTGCTTTTGTTTGTTTTCTGAAGCAGAAATGTCTCATTTCCTCCCCAAACCACCTTCTTCGGCACAGCCTGGGGGTTTTGAGTGACAACAGTGTTTTAAATGCTTCCACTAAAAGTTTCAGAAACCCAAACACAAAAAGCAAGGCCTCTTCCCTGGCAGCTGCCTTGCTGATGGCTTTCTTCTGATATGCCCCTTGGAAAGAGCAGAAAGCACAAACCTCTGGCATCCCCTTCCCTCTCTGTCCCTCATCATGGCAAGAGGAAGCTCTGAGTTTTCCTTTTGATCATGAAATAACCCCTTCATTTCCATCTAACTGGCTGTGAGCCAAGACTCTGCAAGTAACAGCCAAGATCTAAATTCAAAAAAGTAGCTGGAGGTGGCAAACCAGCTTTCTGCTGAGAAACTTCCCACAAAGGCTGTGCAGCTGGGGCTCCAGCCACTTTGTCTTCCTTGGGCATGCATCCCTGCCACTGCTTGGCAAAGCACAGTGAGTCCTTCCCACCCTTCCCTCAGAGCAGGAGGACTGTGAGAAGCGGCTCAGAGGTAGAGGCTCCAGATGGAATGTGCACAGAGAAGGTACCTCCATTCTTTACTGCATGAGGATTTCGAGGACAGCTCAGTTACCCGAAAGCAGCCAGAAGCACTTTTCAAAGAACCACTTTGGTAGAGTTCCTGGGAAACTTTTCAAGTCACATCCATGCTGCGTCATCTCCGTCACATCACTGTCACTTCACCATCAGATGTGAGGTGTCATTTCCCCTTCCCGTTCTCTGTTCCATGTTTGGTTCTGGGCAGGATGAGCAGCTGCCCAGCCCAGTGCAGGGGCTGGACCCTCAGCACAGACCAGGGCCACTTCCTCCCCATCACAGCAGTTCCCAGGACTGTGTTACCCCACTGACTCCATTTCAGTGACTGAAGGCAGGTCTCCTTCTTGCCTCTGAGGATACTGCAGTGATTACAGCCCCCCAGCATCAACACTGCAACTCTCATGTGGGGTTTTACTCTGATATTTCTCCTCTCAGCTGCTGGGTGAAGGGGCCCTGGCTGAGCAGGACACTGGCCGGGGGCTGTTGGTGGGGGTTTGCAAAGGGGATGGCTCCAGCTCTGCACCTCAGCCCCAACCAACTCAGCAGCGTGGGAACATGCTCGTGGAGGGGAAGAGCAAGATGGGAGTAGGCAGGAGTGAGAAACCCCAGAGTGCTGACACAGGAGTGTCTGTCACATGAAGGGCTGTGATATTTATTCCAATTAAAATGAAACCAGAGAGGGAGTAGAGCAATCCAGGCAGAAACCAGTGCAGCAGAGCATGATGAGGAGTCACACTGCCTAAAATGGGGAGAGCCCTGCAGAGAGCCCTCCCAACACCCTCCAGCGAGGGCATGGGTGCTGGGGTGCTCCAGATAGCCTGGGGGGAATGAATTAACACAGCCACCTGCAGAGGACAGGGAAAGGTACCCTACTCTGCACCAGCACCTCTGGGGGGCTGTGTCAGGGTCCTGCCAGCCAAGACCTCTCCCTTTTGGCAGCAAGTGGCCCGGGAAGCACAAGGCGAGGCTATTCTGTGGGAGAGGAAGCATTGCTGAAGCACTTCTCAGGAATCCCACTGATGCATCCTGACAGGAGCACATCAGTTTGTCTTTTCGTCTCGGCCACACGCGGGGCGGGATTGAGCACTTGGGCGGGGCTCAGTGGCCGTGCCAGCGAGAAAAGCGTGTCACTCAAAGAGCTCCTGGGACAGGCAGTAATCGAGTCAATCAGTGAGGGCCCAGTACCAACTTGTGGGTCCCTTCCAATCCAGAATATTCTGTGATTCTGTAAGGTTTTCCTCAGCTCCCATCCCACCGTATTACCCACCACCAAGACTGAGCCTTTCCAGAGTCCTCTCTGCTCTGTTCTTCAATGACATTTCCAAATCCTGATTCTGTTATTTAATCCAGGGCCCTTGAAAAATAATCAAGTAGTGTCAGTCTGTTCTTTCGTGGGCAGATTCAGCAAGTTTGGTGAAATTGTCCTTAGGAGATAAGGCTGAGGATGATAATTGCTAATGTAGCTCCTTTAGTGCTGGCTGATCGAGCAGGCACTGTCTGATCTCTCCCTTCCGCTGCCATCTCAGATAACCAAGATAAGTTCAGATCATTCCCAGATCTCTTGATTTAGCAAAGCCAGTAAAAGTGGCAAAAAATACTTACAGACTTTGTGGTCGTGGAGGATTTACTCTGGACTGTGTCTGAGGCTGGACTCAGCCAGAAACGGCTAAAGCAGGGGTTACTTATTGCAAGGAAATTAAGAATTCATACTGTGTGGGTTCAGAGGGTGAAATTCTGATTTTTCCCTAGCTCAAGGGGAGGGAATGACTTCAGCAGGGCTGATCCTCCTCAAAAAGTGTTGTACAGGGATTCCAGGGAGATACTACAGCAGCTTAATGGGATCGGGCAGCAGAGAACAGCAGGAGCAAGCAAGTACAGTGAAGCAGAAACTCCTGAGCTGGATTTAAATCTTTCACTGTTAGACCTGCATTTCTCAAGGCAAATACACAAATAATTAAGCTATCAGAGATACAGTCTACCAGCAAACAGAACAAACAATGGAGCTAAATTGCAGGTTCATTTGGAATCGCTCCTGCCGTTTGCAGGTCATTTCCTCTCATTTGGTTGCTCTGCATTGATTTCAGCTAGTCAGAGCTTGCTCAGGGCTGCAAACTGTTCACTGGCTCTCAGAGTCTGGGATAAGCTGGGAGAGTAAATGGTTTGCTCTGCATGGTGGGGGAAATGCATTCTTCGGTGTGTGAGGGGAGGCGGTGATGTCGGGCTGCTGGGCTCTGATAAAGCTGCTGATAGCACTTATCTGCCATGGGTCAGGTCCTCCAGCGCCATAAAGTGGGATAAAGCCCTTGGAGCAGCGCCAGGCTGTGCTGCTGCCTGTCTTTGCCAGCAATCTATGTCGTCTCATTAGGCTGTATTACACTTGATGATATCATGATAGATGGGAGAACTGTCTTCCTCCTGAGTGCGATTAAACCTGCAGGGCCAAGTGTGTCTCTGGTGCAATGCCAGTGCCTGCAGAGGGACTGGACAGCTTGGCTCTGTGAGGCGCTTCTCGCCCGGCAGCAGCTCCTCCCCGCTCTCCTTTGTGACTCAGAAAAGGAAACAAATGTTGCTGGAGCTGAGAAGGGTCAGAGGATGCTCTCTGAGCCCCAGAACCTCTCCTGCAGCAGGGACCTGCCAGAAATTTCCATCCAGGGATAAGCAGGTCTGGAGCCTCAGACCCGATGGGCCTTTGGGGGGGTTACTCTCTTCTTCCCTGGGGGTTAAGTTCGTCTCAGCTTCTGGGAGAGATTTGTCTGAGTACCAGCACAGCCTGGGTGCCCCGGTCAGAGCCACACGGTACATGCAGCAGATCTGAGTCTCTGGGGTCTCTGTGGCCCATGGAAAGGATTGTGCTGACATTCATGAGAGTTTTAGCACGGTCTTGATGTGTTTAAGAGAACAGAGTTGCCCTGGCTTTGTTGAAGACACCCTGAGGTTTGCTGCTCTCATCTTCCTGGACCTACTTGTTGTGGAGTGTGTGCATTATGTTGAACTACAATGTTGGCTGCACCACTTGTCAATTATCTGATCCAGACACCAGGGCTCATGATATCATTTATTTTTATGCTATTGATTGTTTTCCAGAGCATGAGGCCAATGGGTGGTCTGGTTACACGATGGTCTGTGTCATGTTGGGTTGGTTATCTCAGCTTCAGGTGAGTCTAAAACACCCCATCCCTCTGGGTTGTTTTTCACTTTTTCTGGCTGTTGTTTGCCAAGTCTGATGATCTGACCCAGCAGAACCGTCTCTGCAGTCAGAGGAAATAATGGGCAGATATAATTAGCAATGTCAGGCCCAGGCAGTCAAACAGCAATCGGACAGGTGCAGATGGCTCTTGGAAGCATGGTCTGTTCCTCTGGCTTAGGGCCATCTGCTGATCTGGAAGGAGGGAACAGGAGACTGAATTTCTCTTAATAAACTTCTCAGTAAAGATTAGTTTATTTCCAGTGCAATCAACAACATCAGATTGCTCTAAAGGGAGTTGTAAAGAAGAGATCTCAATGAGGTATCAGCTGTCACCTGCAGGTTTAGGCACAGATTCTTCCTGTTTCTAAATACTATTTGTTTTTCACTCCAAGCAGGGCCCTAACCAGGCTCTGTAAATGCAACGGGATTCCAAAGGGGACCTGCCGGGGTAATCAGGCTCAACACCAGTTTGGCAAAGAAGCTGCAGTCACCTGGCTAGCACGATCTGCTGCCCCTCCTTGGGGTGACACCCCAGTGACCAAGCAGCTCTGTGCTTCACCCCTGCCCATGGACACCCAACGTCTGTGTGGGCTGGCAGCTGGAGGGGTGTCAGCCGGCACAGCCCCGATGCGGGCATAGGGCTCCCTAACGCGAGTGCCAACGAGCCGGGGCTGGAGCAGTGCAGAGGACTTGGCCCCGCGCTCTCAGCTCGGCGGCTGATCGGAGCCGGTGCAGGGCTGACCGTGCCCCGTGGGCGCCTCCTGCAGCGGAGGGAGGAAAGGCGGCGATTCCCGGTGGCGAGGACGGAGCCTCGGGCTCTGTAGAGCCGGGGGGGCTCCATCACGGCTGTCGGAGATGGGGAGGGGGAGAGGGACCGGCGGGCTCTGCCGGAGTGGGGGGAGCTCCCTCCGCCTCCCCGCCCCCGGGCGGGACCGGCCTCCCCCCCGCACCTCCCCACCGCCTCCTCCGGGCGGGGGGAACCCTGCGAGCGGCGGCGAGGAGCACCGGCACCGCTGCGCTGTCCTGCGGGACGAGCGGGGCCGGGCGGTGCCGAACCGGGCCGGGACAGCGGGGCCGAGCCGGGCCGGTCCGTCCCGAGCGGGCGGCGCTGCCCGCGGTGCTGAGCGGGCCGGGCGCTGTCCGCGGTGCTGCAGGGGCGGCCCTGCCGGTGCCCCCCGATCCCCCCGGCCATGGGTCCTACGCCGCCGGCCCGGGGGGGACGGATACAACGAGGCGCTGCTGCACAAGGTACGGCTGGGGATGGGGATGGAAATGGGGGGGACCGGGGATGGGGTTGCAGAGCGCACGGGATTGGGGGCATACAGGGCAGGGAGACTAATTGCACTTGCTGACAAATTGCATCCCTCTCCCCTTCTCGCTCCTCGTCCCCCGATGAAGTCCGTCCGACACCCCCCATCCCGGCGCGGCCGTGGGGGGATGCGGTTGCAGCTCTCTCCCCTTCCCGGTGCTGGACAGCCTGCAGGGGTTGGCCCCGGTCCCAGCCACCTCCTGGGTGACGGTGGGCAGGGGGGTGACAGGATTCGGAGTGTTGGGGAAGCCAGGAGCGCTGGAATGGGGCCAGCCCCGCGGCACAGCCCGCAGCCGCCCTTCAGCCGCTCCCGCTGTCCTGTGCGCGCTCAGGGCGGGTCGGGGGGAGCGGAGCCCCGGGGCTCTGTTTGCCAGAGGCAGCCTAGGGAGTCGAGACTTCCCTGCTATGAAATAGCTGTGTTCCAAGAGACATCCATTCCTGCCCTCCTTCCTTTGAAATCCTCTTCTGCGGGGTTCCTGGGACTGTGTTTTGTAACTCCACTTGCACGGAGGGTGGTCAGGGCTGCTGCTGTCCCTGCAAGACCTGGGGAGCTCAGGCTCTGCTGCGGGGACAGCAGGCTTTTGCTCCCTGCAGTCAGACGCTGCCCTGCAACTCCTGGAGTCATGGAAGAGACACTGATCTCTGTCAGATCCACCCATCCGTTCTGCTTGCTGTCCTCACGGTGCTTTGCTGCAGTCCCCAGTGACTGTGCAGGGACAGGCACCCCCCCGGGGAGCAGGGAAAAAACAGGGATGGGGCAAGGCAGAGGAAAGGGCTGGGGCTGTGTGGATCACTCTTTACAAACACCAGTCTGTTCTGTATCCTGCTGTACTCAGGGCAATGTGCCCAACCCTTGATTAGCAGAAAAATATCAATTACTATCAGCTCTCATTTCTGTTGTACATGGAGTACGTAGGACATGCCTCCAGGGATGACTGGAGAAACTTGGATTCTTTGCAGAGCCTTAACTCTCTCTTCTCCAGCAATGAGCTGCTGTTAAGGAATGACATTGGTGGAAATGAGTCTCTGGGCAGAAGAGCTGCCCAGGCAAATAACCATCCCAGTCCCTTGTTCCCTGCTGTTTCCCTTGGTATTTTTCCTGGCTGGTTGCTAATCTTGCAAAATCAAGCCTGCTCTCACTCCAGGGGTGTGAGGCAGCAAATACCTCACTAGATCTTGTGTCTGCACAAGGAATCACATTTCAGATGTGCTGAGAAACCCCAGAGAGCTTTGCAGTCTGGACACAAAGGTTAAGTGGTTTCTGGTTGGTGGCTAGACCCAGGCCTGGGGAGGAAACGGGCCAGGAGCAAACCAAAGAAGGAACAGGAGAGGTTTGTTCTGGGCTGTTCCAGAAGAGTTTCACCTGACACAAAATGCTGAGTTCTGCTTGCAGGTGGTTTGACCCATTGCCAAATCATTCTTCCTTTTGTGGAATTCCTGGACCTATTTACCTGGAACAAGCCTCAGTGGCAGAGGATGTGTTTCTTGGCTGTTGTTGATCCAAGGTGTTAGCAGGGGGTTTGCAAACAGGGATCTCCTGTGTGATCTGAGCCAGCTTTTGTTTGATACACAGCTCTAGAGCTCATGTCTGCAGGGCTGAAATACAGCCTCTGCCAGGGCAAGGGCCCAGCTGAGCTGGCAGAGGGCCCTGGGCTCTGTGTCAAGTCAGTGTTAGGGTCTTGGCCATGGTGAAATAGTGCCTGGGCAGGTGGGGACAGCCCTGGAGTATTCCTGTGGCACAGAAAGGCTTCAAGCAGCACCCAGCAGCAACCAAGTTACCCTGGAGCATTGCTTGGAGAAGGGAAGAGACAGTACAATTTTGTTATATAGAGGAGGTAAAAATAAGTCACAGAAATGCACCTCTGAGAGTCCCTGAGAGTGAGGGGCTGAAAGCAGCCACAGATTTGCTGTCAGACCTCTCCCAGGGCCATGTCCCAGCTGAGCTCTGCAGGCAGCTGTGCTGGGTTGCACGTACACCTTTGCCACAACTCATTGTGATAAATCCTGCTCACCTGAGCACAAACCTTTATGTTTGGGCCTTCAGCCACTCTCTGAGAGCAACAGCAGAGCCTGTGGAGGGCAGTTCCACCCTCCCAGCATCCCCCTGACTGGGGCTTTATCCTGTCAGGCCTCCACTAACTACATTTAGCTCAGGTCCAGGTACCACATGCTAAAGCTCAGAAATGAACTGGGAAGACAACCTAAACCCACACGCTCTGTCCCAGATCTCCTCCTGCCTGGCTGGCACTAGAAATGTAGCAGTCACCTCCCTGTGCTGCCCTGACAGCCGTGTAAACCCATCTTCCCTCAGCAGGTTAGGCCAAAATACCACCTTTGCTTGCTGGCTGCCAGCACAGGTAGGGGAAGTTTGAATAGGTTTGCCCTGACCACTCCATTGCTTTGCCTTGTCCCTACAGACTATGCTGAGCCAGCAATGATTTTGACTGGATGTGATTCATCCAGGTCTGATTTAGCCACAAAACTACTAATTTAAGGTGTGGGGAGAGATGTTTTCTCTTTTCCTGAGGCAGAGCAGGCAGACAGGTCTTTTCAGGAAGGTTTCCCTCCGTGCCTTGCCCAACCCTGGAAAAGCACTGCTCCATCCCCACATCCCCATGCAGAGAGGAATGACAGAACCAAAAGGAATCTTGCAACATTTTGCCAAAGTTTTCTAGACAGAGAAAAAAACTGGGAAAACCTGGGTGGCTGCGGGGGTGCAGAGGAGGCCAGGCTGTGGCTGAGGATGAGGGCAAGAGGTAGGACAGGTACAGAACTTTGTCAGTGGGAGACTTTTTGCTGTCATGACTCGGGCATATCCAGCCTGAGGTTTCAAGAGCTGGCCACATCCTCTCCACAGTGGGGTTTCTATTCTTATGTTATGTTTATTTGGTAGCCAGGAGGGTCACAGTGATTTCCACTGTGCAGTCCCTCCATGGAGCCCATGAGCTTTTCCTAAAGTCGTTAGGAGTATCTCTTGGCTAATCCAGGCCAATTTTTACTATTATGATTAAGTCATGAAGCAATTCATGAGTTGTCTCTATTATAAATCCCATTTAAATTATTAATAGGGGAATCTGCCTTTTATACATGTTCTCTGTAAACCTTGGGCTCTGGAGGCTTTCTGGTGCTCATTCCAGCCAGCTCTCCTCCCTCCATAATTAATGCTGTTCTCTGCATTAACTGCTCCCAAAGACAGCGCTGCAGGGTGCATCAGTCTTGTTGCACCTCCCAGGACCAGTATTTTGCCTGGAAATAGTGTGTAGCACAAAAAAAATGCAGGACTGGAGTGCAGGAGTAATGAATTCTTGGGGTGTTTTCCTGTGAGGCTGCTCCCATCCATATTATGATCTCTGCACAGGGAAAGGTTCTGGGCCCGAAGGGCAAAGCCAAAGGGGACCTGGGCAGGGAAATTTTCCTCAGGGAAAGGGATGACCCAGCTCCTCTAGCCCACGTGCCAGGGCTTCACCCAGACATTTCTGCCTCTGAACATCCCCCCAGCTCCTGTGCAGGCTCCCAGCTCACGAGGCTGCTCTGAATGTACAAGTGACCTGCAAACAGCCTAGTTAGGGAGGAGGGAGAAATCTCCGGCTGCGGATCTGGACGCAGGTTGCTGCCTCTCAGCACTCAGGTCTGTGCAGCAGCGTGCGTCTGGCAGAGGTGCAAGGCTCCCTCCTGCCAACAGCTCCACCCGTCAGGTCATGCTTTTCCCAGGAGATGTTTGGTGTTTGGGATGTTTTTTCCATGGTAAAGCGCTGATTCACCACAGTGAGCGTTCACTGAAGCGTGTCGTGGTGAACAGGCTCCAGGCAGGTTGTGGGGCAGCGCTTTATGCAAGGCAGGATGATGGTCTCCTGCCAGACCACGCTCCTGCGTTGCTTGTGCTCCTCAAGCTCCTTGGATTTTGGCTTCAGGTCACTTCCTCGGGGTCTGTGGGATGGCAGGAAGCACAGTGCTGGGTGCTGTGGTATGTGCCTGCTGTCTGGAACCTGCATGGCCTCCCAGGGCATGCAATCAGGCCTTGATCTGCCGGGGCTGTTTGTGCACCTGATTAAACACATTCCTTCACGCTCATCCTGCACTTCACAAGGGGGACACACAGTGTCTGAAGTGGTGCCAGGGTAGGTTACACCCCAGGGAGCCTCAGGGCAGGGGAGGTGATGCAAGAACAGGATCAGCCATGTGCGTAGACTCCTCTGGATATTGGGAAGATGCTGAAGCACCTTCCAGGGTGGGGACAAAGGGCTGAGGCGTCCAAGGATGGAGAAGGGCTGCTGGAGCTGCATTGAACTAAACACAAATCAAGGGGGGAAACAACATATACAGCCAAGTGCATCAGAGGTGGATGCAGAGAGTGGGGAGGTTCCACCCCAGCACCTCGTTGGCTCAGCCCTGCAGCCTCAGGGGTGACAGCAGCCCCATGACAGAGGGGACACTCAGTGTTTTCCAGAACTGCATCTACAGGAACACCCATGTCCTGAAAGACAGAGCCAAATCCACTTCTGAGCAAGAAGCCTGTTAACAGAGTGTTTATTTTAACTTATGTCCCTGTAAAAGGGTTGAAAGTGCCTCGGTTTCCTGAAAGGATGGGAGTGTTTGCTCCAGTGGCTCTGTGAACAAAACCCAGACACCAACAGAGGAGAGGGAGGGTGTTGCATTTGCGCTGCAGGTCTCACTTAGGTCAAGGATTTGGAGGGACAGGAGCAGAAGGGAAGATTGGCTCCTCAGGGGTGCAATGTGGGTACCAGGACTATGGGCTGGCAGCTCTCAGGAGGTGACAGAACCACCTCAGCTCTGACACCCGCACAGCTCCCTCATCCCTCCTGCTCAGGGACAAGCAAGCCTTGCTCCCCGTGGGAGAGCCCTGGGACTTCCCATGGAGGGCTGGAGAGGCGGAGGGGTGCCATGAGTTTAAACCCAGCAGCCTTCTGGGGGGAGTGCTGTGGGCTCACAGCAGTAAAGTAGCACAAAGGCTGCCCAGTGACCCAGCAAGGCTGCGTGGCTGTGACTACAGCTGTGTGCAGCAGCTGCAGGAGATGCTCACTTTACTAAACAGTTTTGGACCTAATCCAGTGACCCCAGAGTCCTCCCAAAGAGGTTTCCCAACAAGCCCTCCCCAAATATCTGGCCCCCGGCTGCTCACTGTGCCTGCAGGCTCCAGCATTGCCTGCACCTCTGCTGACACATCTTTACATGGTCCTTGCAGACAATCCTGGTTGGAGACAGCGGCGTGGGGAAGACATCTCTGCTGGTCCAGTTTGACCAGGGCAAGTTCATTCCTGGCTCCTTCTCCGCCACTGTGGGCATTGGGTTTACGGTAAGAGCCCAATCCCTGGTCCCTGGGTTGTGCACCAATCATGAGGAGCAGCTTTACTTGGGAATCAGAATCTATGAATCTGTGATTCTGATTATTTTAAGCACAAAGAATTGGATAATTTGCTTTGGTGCTGCTGGATCAGGGGCCCAGTTTGGCTGTGTGCTTGTTGGCGTGCTTTGGACTGCTTAGAGGGATGGGTGGACAAAGTTCCACATCCCAAAAGACTCAGTGGGGCCGTGTTTGAGTGCAGCCTCTTGCATCACACATGGAAAGCTGCTTTTGGAGTAGCCCTGCTCTGCCAGGGAGATGCCAGCCTGTGTCCTGCCTGTGTCCAGCCCAGGGCCCTCACAAAAAGTCAGGCAGATGGTGACAGTGCCTGGGAAAAGCACTCGGCTGCCATCCAGAGCTATTTGCAGAGCTGCCACAGGGTCTCCAGTGGCTCTGATGTGTATGTCCCCTCTCCTAAGGGAGGTCAGGACAGGGACAGTGCTTGGGACGGAGAAATTGTCATCCCTTCAGCATCGTGGCAAGGCTGGGGCTCAGCAAGGGGCTGTTACCCATGGGGATGCTATTACCCACAGGGATTTTCTCTCTTGTCCAGGCCAAGGAAGCAGGGAAACATGTGGTACCGGTGTGGGGAGTCTGGGGCCAAGCAGCCCAGGGGCTGTCAGCCAAGGGCACCCCTGTGGGCAGGCAGAGGAAGCTCAGCCACACTACTGATCTCTGCCGGCTCCTGGCTGCCTTGCTCCTCCTGCAGCAAATGCCAGCGTGTGGAAGTGATGCTCGGCCAGGCGTCTTTCCTGCCCAGGCAACTCCACGAGCTCCAGCATGGTTTGCCATATCCTTCCAGCCCCTTCCCCAGCGAGCTGCAGGAAAGCTCAGCCACTTCCAGGAGCTCCGAGTGCCTCCAGCCTCCAGCTCTGGGCACTTTCCTGGCCAAAGAGCATATATAAACTATAAATCCCCCAGCTGGGTCTGAGTGCAGTTACAGGACTGGAAATACAGGTTCTGTTTCCTGAGGGGCAGAGGAAGGCTTGGCTGGAGCAGGGGCCGGTGTCCCGGAGAGGTGCAGAGGCGGGTGCCATCACAGAGGGCATCTCTGACATCGGCCCTCCCGCAGCCACCCGTGGCTTTCACCCGCAGAACAGTGAGGGGCACGGCTCTGCACTGGAGCCCTGCACCCCTGGATCCCAGTGGCATGAGCAGGGATGGGGGTTGCCCCGAGATTAGCCCAGGCATGGGAGAGATGGGCTGCGTATCCCAGGGAAAATAGATGAGAGGGAGCTCAAGGCTCCTGTCCGTGGAGTGGTGCCCGTAAGGCTGAAGACCTTGGGCAGCTGCAGTGCGTGGACATGGATGGGGTTTTACAGAGTTAGTTTTTGGATAACGCGACATCCCTGTCTCTCTCCAGGGGCTTCTCCTGCATTCCCATGCTTGGGCTTTTCCCAAGCGAAGTGTGCTATGAGCCGAGCCCCAGTGGCTGGTGTAGGATGCGGGGGGCTGTGAGCAGCCGGGGCAGCGGGAGGTCTGGCAGCCGTCCGGCCGAGAATTGCAGGAACCGGCTC